TATATATATATAAAGCTACAGTGAGGCGAGAGTTCAAAACTCAAAAGAAATTTGTGTCAAAATGATTAAGTGGAACTGTGAGGACAATCATTGTGTAGTCTTTTGGTAGATGTCGGGCTTCAGATCAACTTAAATTTCCACAGTTCTGTGTTTTAAGAGCTAAAAAATATACGTGTGGGTGTATGTGTGTGACACTATTTGCGTGACAAAGAAAAGTAATTAGAAAAGTGTGAGTCAGAGCATTGCTGTGTGTTTGTTCAGCAGCTCAGTGTTGTCTGCCTTTAGCCGTTTAATTTGCTGTTGAAGAGTTGGGACGTTTCACTGCCTTCTGCTGTGTCAGTATTGTGCCACTTTAATGGAGTGATCTGTAGGTGAACCTAAACTAGTTGATTGTTTTGTGGTGCCTAACATATGATTGTTCCTTGTTTTTCAGTATTTCAGTGAGTTTTTTTTTATCAAGCTGTTGTCCAAAAGAGGATAAATCATGATTGTATGTTTAAGAAAGGTATATTATTTGACAGATTCCAAGTATTTACTTGGCTTTTTGTTGTTGTTGTTTTTTTCATCTTAACATTAACCAATGAAATGATGATGATTTTCACTTTGAATCTGTTGGTTCTTTTTGCTTTAGATTTTTCACCTGAAAGCACTTGTTTCTTCTCTTAGTCTGTGTGTCTGTTTGTGTGTCTGTTGTGTGTCTGTTAGAGTGTTGTAAATTTTACCTGAAGTCATTTACGAAAAGAAGAGACGGATGATGCAAAATAGTTCAGTCAAGCCACTTATTAGCTGTTATTTTGTTGCTGCTCCCTCATTATTTGTACTCATTCACATTTATTTGAAATGAAAAAAAACAACAACAAAAAAAAGACCTGCAGTTTCAAATTTGACAGTTTTGCATCTCGACCACAGTGTTGTGGAAAAATAGCCAGCCTTTGGCTTTCTGTGTTAAGGTTATGAACAATTAATATCTTACCTGTTGTAGATAGCTCTTTGTCTAATTATTATAGTTATATATAGTTTAATTTGATTAGGGTTAACAAACTAAATCAAATCAACTTTATTTATAAAGCGCTTTAAAACAGCGGCCGCTGACACAAAGTGCTGTACATAGAGGGCCAAAAATGATACAACAAATCACTAAAAACACTAAAAAAATAATAAAAACAAGCAATAAATAAATAAATAAAACAGACCAAGGTCTCAAGCTAGGTTAAAAGCCAGTGAACAGAAATAAGTTTTCAGATTTATTTTACAAACAGGCAAGCTAACTACTTGTCCGATTATGGTATTGCTGCCATTTTAAAACAACTTCATGATGGGATACACGCAGTTTTATAAAGATTGTGGATGATTATAATGATTTCGGCACTTTGTTTGAAGCACGTTGAGGTCTTCAGCTTGTCAATCCTTGTCAGACTAAGGCTGATTGAAGATCTACAAGTAAGACATAAACTGTTCATATCCTTTCTTGAAAACCCCACTTCAATCAGACGTATCGCTGTACGAGTCATTCATTGAGGCAGGCTGACCACATGTAAAGATGATGATAAAGTGACAAAGATCATCTTTAACTATCTGTCTCACATGTCTGCTTACCTTTGTTGTATTACATCCAGAACATACGAAACCAGTGCCTTTTATTTTCAACAGTTTTATTAATGTATGAGCTGTGATTAATACAGTATATCAACTAATGTAACCATAACAAAGTAAAAAAAACATGAAAATTCCAAGCATCATATTCAGCAGACGTAGCTTTTATGTGAATCCTGCTTTGCTGACTAATATCATTACCTCTAAAACTTTTTGTTATTGTCTCGCCTATGTTTTCAGAGGCTTGCAGCACATAAAAGTAAAAAAAAATTCTTATGCTTTGCCTTGATAAATGTTTCTGTGCAAGTTTTGGGTCATGTGGTTGAACAGCATTAAGAAAGCCTATCCGAGGTGCATGTAAGGACTTTTGCTTCCACAGATTGATGGGTTTACCACCAGTAGCACACACGTCTGTAGGGTTGGGCAGGGGTGGGCAGTCCTGGTCCTGGAGGGCCGCAGTCCTGCATGTTTTACTTGTTTCTCTGCTCCAACACACCTGATATGTATGAATATATGATTATCAGGCTCCTGCAGTACGGAGGACCAAAACTGACATAATTAGAAATAAAAGCAGAGTTATATAAATGAACTATTAAATAAATACACTTAAAGGCACCAATTAGAGAACTTTATGTCCTGTTTTATATTTTAATTGACTTTCATATTTATTTTTCCAGGTTAGTTTCAATAAATTAGTCCATATATTTAACACATAATTTAAATTAGACTGTTTTTTACATATATATTAATTGTTTTTCCTTTACTTGTACATGCATTTGTGTGTCTTAAATGTTTATACTTAATTATGTTTACATTTTTTTCCAAAAAGTCTTTTTATTTCATTGTGTTGCATGCTTGTGCTGCCTAAATTTAGTTTAAAGTTTAGTTTAAAACAAAGGCAAAGAGGATTACCTCTGCCTTTAGTTTTTAAAACATATATAAAAATAATTAAATTTCAGCATTTAAGAGACAAAAATGCATGTACAAAAAAAGGAAAAACTATATAAAAATATATTTAAAAAATGTAAAATTTAAATTATGTGTTAAAATATACAATTTATTGGAACTAAGCTGGAAAAATAAATATGAAGGTAAATTAAATTGTAAAACTTGAGGTAAAGTTATTTTTAATTTATTTGGTGCATTTTAAACATATTTATTTATTTAGTGGTTCATTTATATGTTTCTGCTTTTATTTCTAATTATGTCAGTGTCGGTCCTCCGTACTGCAGAACTTGGAAGAGGTAGTTCAGTGACAGAATCAGGTGTGTTGGAGCAGGGAAAAATGTAAAACATGTAGGGCTGCAGCCCCCGAGGACCAGGATTGCCCACCCCTGGGTTAGGCGATACTGGCAAAAAAAAWGAATCACGATTAATTGTGGTATTTAGCCGATAATGATTACTTAATAAGACTATTAATCCCCTGGAGTCCCTGGATGCCTGGTCACATGACCAATTTAAATCACTCTAGTGGGAAAGATTTGCTCTCTGTAAAAATCTGTTCCAAATTGTGTCAAAAGTACGACTTCAGGCTGTACATCATGTTTTAAATTGTGTTGACAGGCCAAGTAAAACTGGAGTCGTGATAAATTTACAGAATTTTTTTTAAATGTTCGGCATATTTGAAGCGTGTTGCAGCAGGAGGCAGGGAAAAMACACCTCAGTCCACCCTGTAGTTTCACCCCCATC